ATATGTATATTATTCATATATTATTCAAAAAAGTATTCAATTTAAAAAGAATTCTATTAAATTTTTACTTTAGTTATTAATAACAAATGCAATTCAAATAAAACTTAAATTACATATTTTAGTTTATTTTGTATTTTCAATTCAAAGAAAGTGAAATATTTCTTTGGCCAACTGTAGCGAGGATGGTTTACAGCACATTTTTGAACGTCTGCCCGGCTGGCTGTCCGTCCGGCCAGTTAGCCGTATGTGTGCCAAAGTCTTTTAGAAACTTTTCCTTCACAAATATCAATTTCCGCTGGCGACGTTTTGCCCATAAAAAAGAGCAGCATAAATTGTTGCCATTGAGAAGACAGTAAATTGTATGTGAAAGCAGCTAAAAGCGCCACATTATGCATGCCAAGCGAGAGCAGGACTCCCCAACAGAGCTAGCTGGTGTGTGTGAGAGGGTGAGAGCGAGAGTGAGAGAGAGAGAGAGAGAGAGGCTGAGAGCTGGCTATAGATAAGCGTTAGGCAGAGACTTTGCCGACAGAGACCGGAAATGTGCGCTAAAACGAGATGGCGCTGTCATTGCCGAGCGGAGGAGGGGGAAGAGGAGGGGGAAGAGGAGGGGGAAGAGGAGGGGGTGCTTTGTGGTCGGTGGGTGGTTTGCTGAGGGTTGCTGCTTGGCTGTGCGTATGTAAAGCGCAAATGCCGCCGCCATTGAGCCGAGCAGCCGAAGCCAGCTCTGACGTCAGATGCAAGCAGCAGCAGCAACTTTCTATCAAACTTTTGGTAATTGTGTGTGTGTGTATATGTGCGTGTGCACATAAGCGTTATTTTTCTGCGCTAGAAAATCGGCATAATAAACGTAAATGTTTGCTGAAAGACGTAAAAACAAACTGCCAAAAGCTAAAGTGACTCTGTGTGTGTGTACGTGCGTGTGCGTGTGTGTGTGTGCCTGTATGCTCGCAAGCAAATAAAACTAAATCAGTGGCACTTTGTGCAATTTATATGTTAATATGATTTGCCTTTGTAGTGAATGCGCCCGCCTCCCCCCGGCGGACTCTGGTAATTGGCCTGAGTGGATGTGGCAGGGGCTTAAAAAGGAGTCACAGCTTAGCAAGGCAAACACACATGTGCGAGTGTGTGTGTGTGTGTTATAYATGCAAACTTACTGAGCTAGAAGATAATGTGAAGCCAACGACTGCGACAAAGTTGCGTCATAAAGAACAAAGACAAATCTAGTTCATGAAAAGACAATGAGAGAGAATGATAGGGGGAGGGGCGGACGCTGAGGGAGAGGGTAGCTAGTTAGTTGCAAATTGAATTGAAAGAAAGTCAAGTAAAAGAGTTTCTAGATATGAGTAAAAACAGAAAAAAGGAAAATCGAAAGCCACTTGAAATTCTATTCAATATTCATAAGCCTTAAGCACTTGACGCCTGTGGCCGTATCCTTGGGCTGTGGTTGGCCGCAGAATTTGAATAGCAAACACAGTCGAGGCAATGCAATTAGCTCACTTCCTCCCCTCGCTCGCTCGCTCTCGCTCTCCGCCTCGCTCGGTGTGTGTGAATCAAATTGAATTGGAGTGAATAGAAGCAGAGCTGACGCTAATTGCCGTGCGGGTCGTCAAAGGAGCCCAAACAAACAACTCAGCAGTCAAACAAATCAACTCACTAGCCAAGCCAAACTGAGGCGAAAGTCAAGCGGATGTTGCGTATGCGCCGTGTGGCCAACGACCAACGCCCACGATGACTGAACGTGCGGGGCCACAAAATGTCGCACAGAGTGCCACACACGTGCCAGGAAGTCAAGTGGTTGGTCATAATACGGCTGACACTCATAAATCTAAACAAATGCCAAGGCAAATAAATGCGCACGAGGACAGTGTGCGTGTGTGTGAGTGTATGTGTGTGTGTGGTGACTGCCTTTGCATATGCGTCGGCCATGACTAATTTGCATTATGATCCGCAGGACGTTGAGGACAACGTCGCCGGTTGCCATAATCTGCCTCAAATCGTTTTTATTGTTCGCACTTAAGTTGCGTAAAATAAAAATCATGTTTCTAACGCCACAGCGAAAGCTGCCACAGCCCACAAGCCCCTCACCCTGCCCCTGCCCCTGCCCCTGTCCCACTCGGCTCGCTCCCTGAGCTGAAGAAAAGCCACAGCATGTGAGTCTTTGGCTGGTGGCCTTTCCTAATCCCCATACTAAGCTCCATTTGCCCTGAATGCCATAATTTTTATGTGAAAGCATCACGCATGAGCCCCACATTGCCCAACCTCAGTCGCATTGGAGCTTTATCAGACTTAGCATTACCTCTCTCTGTATATAAATGTGTGTGTGTGTGTGGCGCTGCTTTTGTTCAAGAAAATCTGCGCCACAAATCTGCGTGTTTTTTTTTTCTCTTTTGCTTTTTCTTGGTGGGGGAGCTCGGATTTTATGACTGTATTTTGGTTCCATCGCTTTTTGGGGCACAAAGTATATTTTTATAGCTCAATTAGCATATGCAAAGGGCCAGAGGTCGCCGGGCGGCCCAAAAGGGTTGCTTTCTCCGGAGCTCTGGACTGAAATTAATGAAAATATAAAATTTCGGTTTTCATATTTGGCAGTAGCTCAACAGGGCAATGCACTCCAAATGAAGTGCAGTTTATATATGCAAGCTAACAAATGATTGAGCTATTTATGCAGAAAATCGAATTATAGAATATATAATAGACACAATCATATTTGTGTGCTAAATTGTGTTGTGTTAAACCTGAGGGTTATTCAAATAGACCATGGAAGGGTATATTGCTTTTGTGGCTCTTGCCATTGGTTATAAAAAAGAGTTATATTTATACAGGAAAGTTTCTCTTTAACTTTCCGTTCAATAATTGAATATCTGAAGAACATGACATTAGTGTTATTGCTTTTCAATAAAGTCTGAGCTATAAAAATGTTACAATATGTGGCCACTCAAAAATATATACATTGTACATATAATGAAAGGAGAATTAATAACAAAATAGCACTATATTATATTTATTTAAATTATATTGGAACCGATAAAAAAAAACTTTAAATCGGAAATGATTTTGTTTATTTTTTTATATTTCTTTGAAATGTTTTTAATAAGTTATATATAAACTTATTTTTATTGAATTTTTAAATCTGATTTTTTATTATTTTTTTATTTTTTTCGTATTTAATTTTATTATTATAATTTTTCATATTTTTGTAGCACTGTTATTCATTTCTGATTTATTGTAGTTAACTTTATTTGCTTGAAATTCTTTACTTTGTTCTTCTAATCTTCCTCTCTAGACGATTCGAAGGATATAATCCTTTTAGCTAGTCAAGTAGCCTTTTTGGCCTATGAATATTAATTCCCATTTATTTGATCTTTTCTGTGTATTTGATCTTTTCTGTGTATGTAAAGTACTTCATGGTACTAAGAGTGTATTTCTACCTTCTACCTAACTAATGAGTATCTTCAAGTCGGGCATCCCCTGCAGAGCCACTCTGACTTGTTTTGCCTACTTTTGTGCGCAATTAGAAATTAATTTTAGCTGAGCTGCCGCCGACCGAGCAGCGAGCTCAGAGTGGGTTAAATGACTTTAATCACTTCCCATGGCCAACGCAGCAGCAGCAGCAGCAGCAACCACCACAAAAGTCAAGTGGCCCGGCCCACTCGGTGGTGTGGGCTCACGTGTGCCCGTCTAGCCCAACCGCCCAACCGCCAGCGTTCCTCCCACTCCTGCAGCTGATGATTTATGCTCGCCAATAGCAACAAAAACAAATCAACGGCAGGCGACGTCAGCGAGAAAAAAAAAAGAAAAAAACTACAAACGGAAACAAAATACCGTTGGAAAGCACTTAAGGACCTTTTCATTAAGTGCGCAGCGACGCTGACGTTGGCGGTGGCGGTGGCGTTGGCGTTGGCGTTGACGCCGGCAGCGGCGTCGTTCGGCGGGAGCGTAAAATTTCCTCTTGGGCTGATTTGACATGTTCACAGGCAAATTAGTGTCGCCCTGGCAGGCGGTACATTAATTTCAACGCCAGAGCTGGGCAGAGCAGAGCACCACCCTGCCACTGCACTGGGCAGCACCGTGCACCACCCTGCGACGGCCACTGGCGCTGCGTGTTGGGCTAACAAATTTCGTTGACTGGCACCTAAAATGTTATTTAGCGCATGTTTTAGCGTTATTTATTAAAGCGAAATTATTGTTAATGAGCCGGGCCGAACCACCCAACGGTGGTTCGCACTGCCTTGCCCACACTCCCACACTTGGGTCCGAAATCAGGCAAACGAATTCCGACGCCTTTTCGACATTAATGCGAGCGTGTGTGTGCGTCTGTGTGAGGAGAGAACTGGGAAACTAATTGCGTGAATGTCGTCGAGCAGTCCGGGAAACTGTTTCGCCTTCGGTATCGCGCATTTAAACGAAGGCATTTGATTCTTGTGCCGATAGTGCCACAAAATGATTTAAGGCGGCTGCTCCTCGGCTGTGCCCCAAAGGGCAGCAGCAGCAGCTACCGCCAGTTCGAGCCACACGGAAAACAAGAAACAAAAACAATAATCATAACTGTCGTTATAAGCGGTCCGCATTTGGTCGGCCGGGGGGTGGACTATATGGTAATACGGCCTGGAAAATGGCGTAAATACTATTTGGTTAGAGTCGAGCCCATAAAATGTGTAACAAAAGGAAACTCATTTAAGATATTTATGAAGTACTTTGCCAGAGATTTGTAACGACCCGGCGACGCGTTTGTTTGTGCTGCACAGTGTAATAGGCTGGCCCAAAATTGGCTGGGTGGTGCCGTGGCCTATGTCTGCGCTTAATGAGCTTGAAATTGTGGTTATTGCTGTACATATGAGAAAGAAAACACGCATCGACTTCTAATAGCAACGAAAGTTTTTCGCCTCAAAATTGAGTTATGAATGAATGAATATTAATGAATGCGAATGCCAAGCGAAGAAGAAGACATCAAATACCCCAAATAATATGATACTCAATAGATCTAAATATATCGGTGTGAGAAAGCGAGAGAGAACTATTCATATACCACATTTTATAGAGATTGGATTATAGCTGAGTAGATATTTTAATCGAAATACACATGTATCTATGTATCTATGTATCTATGTATCTATGTATCTATGTATCTATGTATCTATGTATCTATGTATCTATGTATCTATGTATCTATGTATCTATGTATCTATGTATCTATGTATCTATGTATCTATGTATCTATGTATCTATGTATCTATGTATCTATGTATCTATGTATCTATGTATCTATGTATCTATGTATCTATGTATCTATGTATCTATGTATCTATGTATCTATGTATCTATGTATCTATGTATCTATGTATCTATGTATCTATGTATCTATGTATCTATGTATCTATGTATCTATGTATCTATGTATCTATGTATCTATGTATCTATGTATCTATGTATCTATGTATCTATGTATCTATGTATCTATNATCCATGTATCCATGTATCCAT